TTATGTGAGCCTATTAATTGTTATATTTTTGTGTTTGTTGCCATCTATTTTGTTTTATTTTCTAATGTTTGCTCTTCTAATAAACTATTTTTTATAAAAATTATTCCATTTTGCTCTTTCATTTACCTACAAAACTAATGGAGAGGAAATAAAGCCTTGTTGCATCTCTGTTTCTCCACGTAATCCAACCCACTGCTGGAATGCAAGCTCTACAAGGTTTTTAACGAGATAATGCAGACTCCAAAACAAAAAAGGCACCAGAAGTGGCTGGTGGACCCTCTTGCAGAAGACTTGCAATTTCATTCTCTTAGACTTAACGATATTATTTACCAAACACAATGCTCAAGGGAATTCTACCTGCAGGAAATCTCTGTGTGGCAGGCATTTATCCAGGGCCAGAAATTTTGTTTCCTTTGGCTGCTGCCCGCTGCCATTGGCCTATAAAGCAAGAACAGAGATATAAAATTACACGTCACAGCCTGTAAGGCAAGATATTTTGTTATGCAATTAAAATTGATTTTAATCTATGAACGTACGAGCTCCTTTCATTGGACTCAAATGACTAGCCCTTCTACCATGCTACTCTCCACTCTAATATGCCAGCCTTCACTACCCCCAGCACAAACTGCAACATCTGCGAAGCAGAATGTTCCATCCCCTTTACCTGGTGCTGCATCAATGCTGCAAACTTCACATGCAGATGAGCAGAGAACCAGTAGGTCGGCTTCAAGTGCTCCAAAAGCTCAGATGCAGCAGGACTTCCCAAAGTATTGCTTTCTACTTCTTGGCGGAAGAAGGATTTCTTTTTAAGCAGCATTTTCTTGTCTCCATAATGATAGATACTTCTTGGCCAGTCATGAGACATAAATATATCCATGGGCTGCTTTAGCTGTTAAAACCAGTTAAAGCAACACAAACAAGGCATGATTGCTGTTGCAGTAAATAATGGAACTATACCACAAGACATTAGGAAAGAGAATACAACCCTGTCCAGTTATCACATCAATTCTCTGCTTGAGTCCAGAAATGGGAAACCAGTGGTCTCCAATGTTATTGGATTACAACTCCCATCAGCCCTGACCATGGGACATGTTGCCTAACGCTAAAAAGTGTTAGTACAACAGTATCTGGAAGGATACAAGTATCTACTCCCAGCTGAGCTCATTTATCTTTCTCCCAGAGTAACATGTTCCTCAGTTTAAAGTTGACTAGTTGGGGCATTCTGGGAATTGTAGTCCAAACAAGATCTACAAATCTCTAATGGTTCCCTGAGTTTGTCAGCCCAAGCAAAACATTAAACCACGGTTAAGTAAAAGAAAACATTTTAACATTTGCTCCCTTGAGGAGCAAAGAAAGAGCTGAAGACCCAGATGAGGCAAAAATAGAAAGGCTTGCTGAAACATTATTGGGATGACATTGAAATATGGCCATTCACTCTAACCAAGGCATGCTCTGTATGATAGCAGGCATACAGGATGCAACTTCTCTTTCCATTCTGACCCACAGTACAGTGTACTACAGTGCAGGGCCATGAGACACAATATTAACAGCTGATAGGTCTAAGAGAAAATAGAAAGGCTTGCTGAAACATTATTGGCATGACATTCAAATATTGAACAGACTTAATGGGTCTTTTGATATCCATGTGCATCAAAAGACCCATTAAGTCAGTTCACTGGGACCCAGTTTGGAAGACTTAACACAAAAGGGAGAAGCCATGTGCATCAAAAGACCCATTAAGTCAGTTCACTGGGACCCAGTTTGGAAGGCTTAAGTTGACCACTCTCAGCTCTATGAGGCACAAGCAGCAATGTGGGTTTGAGGGAAATTAAATTTCTTACCGTTTCTTACGCTGCCTGAAATGCTCTTGCTTACAATGTCATAACTGGAGTAGGCCCGTTAAATCAGTGGGGACGTGGTGAGTCAACTGCTCCATTAAGTTCAACTGATTCAATGGGCCTATTCTAGTTGCAATTTATTACACTAAGCAACAGGATTTCAACCATTATTGCGTAACTGCGGGTGGGGGCAAGGAGAAAGCTCTCCATACAATATCACTCACCATACTGTTGAAGGTGAGTGCACTGAAAAGTTTATTGGGAGGGAGTGACTATGATAGTCTTAACACGTAGGCAGAGTTAAATGCAAATAAATTTACACCAACCTGCTTGAGCTTGAAGACTTCAATATTTCTGACATGGTAAACACTTCTTACTGTATGCTGGTTATATGGGGGACATTCAAAGTGACCTGAAGCAAATCAAGAAATAGAAAATCAATCAGAAAGAATTACCAAGCTATATCATAACTGAAGTGGTTCTTACAATTCCCTACCAACAGCCATACAGACACTCCATGAATACGGGGAACATTATATTTACCACATCTGAATAGCATATTTGTTGAAAATGTGTGCCTGTAATAGCACACTAGACATACCTTTTCTATAATCATGAGATTTGAAGATGCCAGAGAGCCCACCAATTCTTACTCCCCGGTATTTTACTACTCCGGCATACCCTGCAACAGAAGAAAATGTTGATAAATGCAAGCAGTTCAACATCATCAACAAGAGTCAATACATACAGTATGTTTACCACCAAACCGTTTGTCTCATACAAGAGGCCCTCTGTCATGCCCTAGTAGTCATGGGCCAATATTGCTTCTTGAGTCACAATAATAAACCACCCACATCTGCTGTTGAGCGAGCTTTTCCACATGCTAATTCATATAATATTTTATTTATTTATTTATTTGATTTATACCCCGCCTATCTGGTCTACTCAACCACTCTAGGCAGCTTCTGGTATAGGATAAAACAATAAAACACAAGAACATTACATAATCATTTGATACAGTTATAATAAAATAGAGTGAGAATAAAATAAGAATAGAAATCAGGTATTGACTGGAGGGAAGGCCTGGATGTACAACCATGTTTTTAATTGGGTTTTAAAGATTCCCAGCGTAGGGGCCGCACGAATCTCTGAAGGGAGGTTGTTCCAGAGGCGAGGAGCCACCGCCGAGAAGGCCCGGCTTCGTGTCTTTTCCTT